GTTATGGGTAGCAGATAGCAACTAATAGCTGACAGGAAAGCAGTACAGAAAGGACTCAGCATCACTCATTTTTCTTTATCTGATTCAAGTACTGTAAATAGTCAGCTTTCAGAATGTTTTTATATGTCATTATTATAAACGGTTGGTCGCTGCAAAAACCTTATTGTAATTAATCATATCCCAAAAATAGCGAAGACAAAAATTGTAAAGAAAACAACTAATTACTTCAACTCTCCTTTTCTTTTTGTATCTACTGTTGTTTTATCAAAATGAAACATGAACAAAAAAATGGACCGTCCAGCTTACTTTTGATGGAAGTCTGTGATATTGGTTGTTATTCTGAAACTTGCCCTCTCCTTGAACAGAACCTGATTTAGATTTTTTTTTTTCTTTATATCATTCATCACCAACACCAAGTTTATTTTCCTATTGCAGCACACACTTCTTTCTTTAGAACAAATGTATGATATTGCTATGAGCAAATACAATACTGAACCAATCGATGTACTGCACAGACACAGCCGCAGTGTCTGTGGCTTCAGATCAGTCTGCAGGCCTCCACAGCTCTGCTTTGCTTTTATAGTGCATATTTTTAACCAGAAGTGCTGCTTACACTTTTTTCATTGCTCGAGTGGTTTCATTCTGACGCTACAAACACCAGTGGCACACTGTCAGGAGGCAAGGTACACCCCCTATGGTTGAGGTAAAGAAACATATGATGCATCTCATGGTGTCCTAAGACTTCGAGGTGACAGATTGTGCAATGCACGAAGAACAGCGCGGTAGTGAAAGCGTTGTTGCACTACATGTGTGATAAAGATGGCATATTATGTGGTTTGAGTTTCCTGTGAAGAGAAGAGAGACGTGATCACAAGACTTACCCGACACTGGTTTGTATTTATGGTGCTCGGCAACAAGCAACAGCATCTCTACAGAAAGATTCATCTGGCTGTGTTTTAATGTCAACAACCGCTACTAGATGCTACTGACAACAGGGCTGTTATTATGTGTTATCCCAAACTACAGCCACCCTATTATTACATCTGTTAAACAAATATGAGCATATCAAATGGCTTCAAGAGGATCAAAATGAATTTACAAAATACTTCAAACTTAGAAAAACATCTGTTTCATTGTGCGCTGTCGGCTGAAGTCCATCTGTGGTGTATGCTGGGAAAGAAGAAGTGTTGGTCCCCTTTTCGTGAATACGATGTCTCAGGAAAGTACTTAAATAAGGCACAAATCTCTAAGACTCAGGGGTGAACAGATTTAGACTTTGGTGGTCAGTTGTCAATGTTACAGATATGTCTAATAGGATTAAATGATGATTAACATTTCAGGGGAGATGAACTTCAACTGCCCGGTTGGCACAAGCATACAACCTCAAGCTGTCATTTTGGTTTGAAGCCAGTAGTGACCATTGGACGAGATTATGAAGTGACCAGGGAAGAGCAAGGCCAGTAGGGTCAGATACCTTTAGCAAAGAAAGTTATAAATGATAAGCTAACGCTAGCTAGCTTGGTTAGCAAGGTGTACTGTATTTATAATTCATGGCAACTGTCTTAACAATAATGATGCACATTTTTGTGAGCATTTTTATCTTAGCTGGTTCATAATTAACAAAATGTACATCCTGCCATGGGAAAATAGTTTACTGAGCTAACACTGAGCTCTTTCTGCAACCAGTGAAGTCGCCTCCTGCCGGCCATTAGTATACATGCAGGTTGAGGGCATTGGCTTTACTTTAAAGACCCTTGGTTTGTGCTAAGTACTTTATGTACTTTACTGTACTCATATTATTTGTAGATGACTGAATTATAAAGTAAGTGATTTATTCTTCAGTTGTTTTGAATACGTTACCTGTTATTCCACAAACATGTGCTTCACTGTTAAAACTATTAGAACACGACTCAGAAGCCAGTACCTCTTGCCAGAACTATGTCAAGCCAGGTTGCATGTCTGTCTAGGATGAAAATATTGCATAATATGCACTTTATTAATATGGAGAGCAGAAAGGACAGTCCCAACTAATTGTCGTTGCTGTCAGTTTATTTTCATCTTCTGATGCAAACTATCAAACCGACGTTTTACAACACTCGCTTGTATCAGCCTTCATCAGGGTCAGGGTGTCTATTCGTCAGTCTTCAGGTGTATGATACAAGTACATATACACAAACCCTAATACATACAAACTCCTAAAGGAAATATCTGCTTCCACTATTTTAACTGGCTAGTAAATAACTTTGTTTTCTTTTTGCTCCTGTTTTTCTTAGAACAGCTGCCTCCCAAGTGAACATGAACCAAAACAGTACAGCTGCGGGCCTTTAAAACCAAAACACTCTGAGGGGATAAGCAAACGGATGATAATCATTTGTGGTTTGGTTACTTCTAGCAACTCTTAGGACTGCACAATGTTGTCATTTATATTGTAAATATAAAAGTATTGATTTGAGCTGCTTTCAAGAACTGTAGAGGCACAAAGACGTGAACATATCCAATCTTTTGTGAGAGTAACTTGGCATAGAAGCCCTTTCTGTCAACACTTAAGACATTAGGCGGGGTGTGATATTAGCCACTCTGTAAACTCAGCTCTACAACCACGACAATCCTGCTCCCTATCACCCCATCAGCTTAACCTCCTACATCCTGAAAACACTGTTGTTACTACAAACCACAGCTTATCCCAGTCCACCAGGTGGAAACCATAGCAACAGACTTGACAGGCGCCCCCCTTCCACCTATCACTTCCTGAGGAAGCTCTCACCTCATTTGTTCCTTCCTGAATGATCTCACATTATTACTGCTGGGGAATTACGCTGGTCGTTATTCAAACGTTCCCTTTTAGTTATTATTTTGTAAAACTGAACTAATTAGTTTATGATATTTAAAGCTAATAAAGGATTTCTGATCCTGATTTGAATATATATGGTCTAGAGAAAAATAATAATAGGGAGTATTTGCGTCTCCTTGTGTGGTGATAGAGCTACATGACGGATTGCCTGTGTGTTGGTTTTCTTTCCTTGCCTCTTAATGCTAACGTAAGCAGTGTGTGTTCCAGAGTAAATGTAACACTGTTTAACATAAACCACTGCAATGCTTCTGAAACTGACAAACTGTCTTTGCGAGTGTGTGCGCACATCCCTTTTCTAAGATGTCATCTGGACTCCTATGAACTTCACTGTTTATATCAGACTCCATTAGAGACCATATGTCCATGTCTAGTTAAAATATATACAAAGGCATACACAGAGAGAGAGGGGGGGATCAGATGTAATGAATCAGTTTCCCCTCTGTCTTTTCCAGCTCGATAGCCCTTTATTATTGTGAATTAAAACTGTTTGTAGATTTCCCTCCTCTAATATCCTATGTTTGCATTTAGTGCCCTTCAGCCTCCCTGCCTCAGTCTGTGTGTGAAGTGAGGGGGTGGAGTGAGGTGACAGAGGGCAGATGTTTCCTCCCCAGCTTTGAAGATGCTTGTTAAGATGGAAGAGAGGAATATAGTGGAGGTTGGGCGTTTCACGAGGGAGGCCACAATCACAAACAGCAGATGCAGGCTCCGGCCTGCAGCAGCTTTGGAAATGGTAGCTCTCTTTCCAACCTTTGGCGAAATCCACAAACCTTAAAGTTGAGCTAACACCTAATTTAGTCATAACTGCTTGCAATAGTCTCTGACAACATGGCCCTCAGGGAGTCATTTTGCAATAGGTTTGTCTGATCAAACTGAACTTTGCCTGTTCCAGAGGAGTCCACAGTCCATATTTACTCAGAGCTGCAATGATCAGCCAAGTGTTTTGCTTATTTTAAACTTAGGGAACACACTTAGTGATTTAGGAAACAATAGCGTGTCTGTTGTCGAGTCCATCTGTCCCTGCAGTTGTTGAGGGTGTGAAAGCTCACATTGCTCTTGGTCTGAAGGCAATGGGTGTGTGCCTTTTTTATAAGGCTACATATTGCCACCATGTGGTTGAACATATTACTTTGTGAAGCACTTCTTAGATTCCCGTTGTATAATCTATCAAATATAAAAGCATTAACATGGTAAATTGGCAATATATTTTAAACATAATGGAACCGTAAGAAAATAACCGCAGTGGGGAGGTGGGCTGCTTGACTTTGGAAAAAATGGGAACCATCTCCTCTCTAATGCTTTGAAATACATAACAGGGTTACACTTGTACAAAAAACGTGAAATATCTTAATGGAAAATAATGACCCATGTGCACATTCAATGATCACTCAGGAGGACTTAAAAGTATTAAACTGACTTGGCCGTCTCAGTAGCCCAGAGGTTCGAGGGGAACTCCACATCAAAGCTTACCGGCCTTGGGGAGAACTACTACATGTGAGACAGCCGTTGTATAAATCCCTTTTGTGGCTCCAGGGGGAGCTTTGTGAAGTCAGCGTCGGCTGGGTCTGAAGACAAGTCTGAAAAAGATCTGGGGTCTGCACTTAGATCTGGGGTCTGCACTTAGAATAAAGGGAGCTTACCAGACCTCTGCCTGAGGCTATATACCTCTAGTAGCATAACATACCACAAATCTCCCACCAAACAGCCAGGGATCGGGTTGCATTGTGGGTGACGCAAGCGCCAGGTTTAGACAAAGAAAAAAGTGTGGAATGAAAAGAGAATCTCTTTTCTGCTGCATACATTTGTATCCCTTTTTAAAAAACAAATGATAGGGAGATTATTCATTGGCATACTGCTGTCTTCTGCACATAGTAAAGTGCACCTTAATGAACAATGGCGCACAAAACAGTTGTATTTTGAAGGTTTATCATTCCATTTAATCATTTACCGTCTCATTGTTAACCCTTTTGAAAGAAAACCCACATTTGGCATTAAAAAAAAGACCCTCCCCGGCTCTATCAGTCCTGTAGGCAAGAGGAAAAGTACAATACTCCCACTTCTCTGACTCACCTTCTCTTCTAAAAGATTTTTGCAAAGTCACTCATCTAGATACACTTCAATACCTCTGTAAGACATTTTCATGACAACCTTATTTTTCATTGAAATGAATTGGTCTTTATTGTTTTGATATTTAACAGCATAATAAGGGCTTTAGATCCGGTGCTTCATTGTGACCTTCTTTCCATTTTGGAAGTGCAACAGTGTCGACTTATCCAATGACATAAAGGGAGGCAGAGGGGGTGCAGAGGCATTCCAGCCGAAGAAACTCCCACACACATTCTGGAGGACGTCAGAGAAAAGCTTTCGCAAGGGAGAAATGAGACAGGAGCAACAATGGCAACAGTATGAGTTTTCTATAAAAGTACAAACCTAACCCCATATGCACAATTAAACCTAGAGGTTAAACAGCATTGATATATTTCAAAATATATAAATCTATTACATATAATTTCCCCAGTTTTTGCAGTATTGACCGTCTTGAAGTCAATAATCCCGGTTTGCAGAGATTGTGAGCGCTGCATAGTTTCTCAATCAGATGGAACCACAATGGATTAAGCTGTTAAAAAGAAAGAACAAAACGGTTAACGAAACAAAATTAGAGTGTTAAGTAAAGAGGTGAAGGTCAAATCAGGTTTTTTTAAATCCTCAACCCAAACCCTAGCTCACCTCTTATGATGACTCTGGCCAGCGCCTCACTGGAGCCGATGTGGTTGGTGGCCACGCATTTGTACGTTCCGGCATCGCTCAGTTTAACGTGGGCTATCTGCAGACTCCCATCCTTGGTGGACTCTGATCCCGGAGGCAGACTCACCCTGCCCCCCCGGCTCCACTCAATCTGAATGGGATGCGTGCCGAGGGCGAGACACTGCAGGCTCAGGGCGTCTCCGGGCTGCAGCCTCACCTGGTCGGGCAGGCTGGTGGCGTACGGAGGACCTGCACGAAGGAGAAGACTTTCACTGTTACCATGAGCAGCGACAACCTGCATGTGTTGATCATCTACGCTGGCCACTCACTCTCCACCTCCATCTGCATGTATGCCTCGCTGTAGCCATGTATGTTGGTGGCATTGCAGATGTATTGCCCTGAATCCTGGCGCCCCACGCCGTTGAGCGTCAAAACTCCACCAGACACTGTGTGTTTCCAGGGCAACGGTGCTCGGAGCTTGGACCAGGTGATGACAGGAAGCGGGGAACCTGAAAAGAGGAAGAGGAAGAGAGGATAAAGGGAAAAAGGAAGTGAGAGCAGCACTGAGAGATATTGAAACACAAGTAATGTATGAACATCTTACCGCTGGCCTGACACGACATTGTGATCGTGTGTCCATCCACCACCGTCATCTCTGTGGCGCCCACGGAAGCCACTGGAGCCCCCGGCTGCCCCTGAACTACGATCTTAATTTTTACCTCCGCCACCCCCTCACTGTTTTCAGCCAGGCAAATATAAACTCCTGAGTCCTCTGGATGCACTGCAGGCCACTGAGAAAAAACACATTATTATAGTCGATTTGTAATGTTAACATGTGGAAATAAATGAAAGTATAACTTCATATTTGACCTGTATGGTGTTGACATCATTTGTCTCCTTGGTAACCAGCTGCAGGGTGGAGCCCTGGCGTTTCCAGGTGGTGGTGGGGCGGGGCCTGCCGGTGGCACGACAATCCACTGATACAGGTTCACCCATCCTGACCTGCAGGGGCCCGGCCTGGGTCAGCTGCACTTTAGGAGCATCTGCCAGAGAGAGATGTGTCCAGTATTGACATTAAGCTTTGATTTTGGTCTCATATATTCACTCTTGAGCTAAAAACAGCTATATTTGATAACAGTGTCTGCATGTCGTTTGGGGCTCAGCACCATGATTGGATTACTAATTGGGCCTACCAAGCACAGGCCCAGGGTCCCAAAGTGTCAGGAGCCCACCTGGCCTTTTTACCTTCAATATGTCACCTATAGGAACTGGTACTGACCGGGGACAGATGCAAAATGAGAACAAAGAGACTCTAACTATTAAAGAAAGACACAAAATGACTACAAAGAGGCACAAATACAACAAAAAGCTAAATCTGTTTGTCTTGCTCCTATGCACGAGTCAGCACCTTCTGTATGTCCATTGTCTCATAATTGGCAAAAACAGCTACCTGTTGAAGAACACTGTGAGAGTGAACCTGAACATTAGAGTTTCATGATGAACTTAACACATAAAGAAGCTCACATTTGACGTTGAGCACAGCCATGGCGGTGCTGCGGCCCGCAGAGTTTGATGCCATGCAGCGGTACTGGCCCTTGTTCTCAGGCCGGGCCTTAGCAATCGTCAACACAGAGCCATCAGGACCAACCTTAGCGTTGTCTGAAAGAAAAACGTAGAATTCAGTGGAACTCCACAGATTGTAAATTTGGTTTGCACAACACGTCCATGTTATTCCTCCTGACCTGGTAACGCTTGGTTATTGGCTCTCTTCCACTGCAGTTGGACTGGAGGGGCCCCGCTCCCCACCTGGCATCTGAAGCTGGCAGACTCCCCTTGGCGCACCGTGGCAGCGCGGGGCTCCACAGAGACCACGGGAGCCTGAGCAGACACTGCACAGAGATATACTGTCACAGGTGATCACACACACACACACACACACACACACACACACACACACACACACACACACACACACACACACACACACACACACACACACACACACACACGTGAACCTTTAGTCTGTCTGGTTAAATACAGTGTAAACACAAACTACCCAAAAGCAAACATGCTGAGCAAACACAGTCTGACAGGAGTGCTTTTGATAACAAAGCAAAAAACATAGAGCTGCAGAAATAAAACTAAATTCTCTCAAAGACATTGTGTTGTCGAGGAACATTTAGTTTCCCTTTGCTTTAAATTGTATATTAATATTTAAGTGTTAGTTTCTCATAATTAGAACAAAAATGGAATTCCATGAAGGTTGTTTTGGTTTGATTTGCTCAGTTGTTGAGATATCAAATTGTTTCTGGCAGTGCTCACATTATTAACTAATAACATTTTAAAATAATCGCCAGCAATGCCTTTCCGGAAAGACCCCAAACTCTGGATAATCAACAAAAACACTATTTCATAGGGCCTATTTCTTTAAGCAGGAAGGAGCTCAAATGAAAACAGCTACCAGTGAGGTCTGAGTATTATCTGGAGGATTCAAACTGCTTGTCAGAAGACAATAATGATGATTTTATACTTGTATTAGTTTGTGAGCAGCAGTTTGTGTGACACTCAATTACAGAAATAAAATGTACATCTCTACTGACGTCATGCAGATTAAAAAAAGGAAACATTATAATTGTGTTCAATGTAAGTCTGATGAATTACCTGAACATAAGAGAGAGCACAGGATCAGAACCCCGGGTGATGAATCCATGATGAACAGTCTCCAGTGACAAATCTATCTCTCTGTGCCTCTGTCTCTTTTTCATACAATCACTTTCAACCTTTAACCCCTAACTTACCATTCACCCCTTCTCCTATTCAAACATTGTCCACACGTGTTAGTCACGTAGGAAGAGTTTTAATGCTATATTGTTGTGTGCCGTTTTGTTTGTTTTTTTCATTCAAAATTGCAACGTCGGTCGACATTTTGATGGATATGCTGTTACAGAGGGGTTTGCTAACAAATAGCTCCCTTGATAGAATAGGAACAGAAGTTGTAGGACATGTACTGGTCAATAGTACCAAGCTTGAACCTTCAATACTTTCTGTGTTAAACTAGTGCCTGGAGAGTCTTCAGAGTACTGCCCTGCTTTCCAAGAAGTGTATTCCATGTTACACAGAACATATACTTCAACCTTTAATACTTTCAAATGGCTGCTACACATTTACAAACTGTTACTGGTACTGGATGTGTATTTTGTAAATGGTGTAATTTCTACTTTTATCTGTAATTATTTGTATGCATGCTTCTTAATTTATATGAAGCGATATATGGCTCTTTACTTGCTGTAACAAAAGGTCTAAGTGGCTGGTGAATGAAGACTCAAGACTCCTCAAGTGTTGTTGTGATGTGTTTTTGAATTTGGTATGTTACTGAGTAACCTGGCGTATATTCATAAATAATGCTTTAAAACATCAAATATGAAGTGAATTTAAAACACAAAAAATACATCAAAAATAACTGAAGAGAGGACGATCCCTGTAACTTCATAGTTTGTAACAATAATCTCATACAAATGTGAAAAATAAGGATGTCAGAATAAATGGGTAAATGGGTCACACGTGTAATGAAATATGTTAATGTAATGATATGTATTGTAGTTTTAACTAAGTAAATATGCTAGTAGAACATGTATCCTATCTTGCATTCTATCAAATAACTACAATTGATTGTAGATACTCCCACATGTTTTGTGCACCTCAGCAGCTCCTTCAGCTGATAAATGACCAATATATTTAGACAAAAAGCCTGTTTCTGTTTATTCACAATTAAAGATTAGCAAGTAAGAGAAAGAAATTGGCAGGAAAACTTGTCAGAATATCAAGAATTAGATTATTTGCAGTTCCACTATTCAACACTAGAGGGCACAAATGAACAAAAACCCACATGATCTCATTGGTACAGTGTGATCTAAAACTGAACCGGGGTCAGTCCTCCTTAAAGCCTCTTTGGTTTAGCTTTCTTCAAAAGCATGGAAGATACAAAATATATATATTGTATTAACATTTGTATGAATTAAAACAAACTCAAACCAGTTTTTTTGTCTGAAGCAAAGAAAAATTTAATAAGTGACAATGTTTTTATTTTTGGTCATTTCTGCCATCTAGATGTTTTTTGTTGTATTCTCTCAATGCATTTTTCTCAGTGACAACATTTTTCTTAAAAAACTTCAAAGAAAAAATACAAAATAAAATCGTAGTTTAACATCTAAAAATAACCACATGCTTTTTTTTATTCTTTTTTTTCTTTCCTATTTTAACTTTCTGAAATAAAATAACAAACCCACATCTGATCCAAGGCCTCATACAGGCCCTAACCCTTCATACAGTGAAGGTCTCACTGCAGGTGAAGCACTACATTTAAAAAAAAAAAAAAAAAAAAAAGATTATTTTCATTATTTACTTTTCTTTTTTGAAAAAAACAAACAATGGAAACATTGTGTGAGTAATAGTAAAAAGAAAAATATAAAGGTGTTAACACATTTGTCAAGTGAAGGGGTTAAAATAAAAGATGTTAGAAAGACTCGGCATCACAAAGCAAAACAAAAGAGAAAAGTTGCAGAGTTTTGGTAAAGCTCTGTTTGTTGTGTGGCTGGAGGTTAGCCTACAGTCTAGGGTTGTATTAGTCTGAGGAGCAGGGGGAGGGTGGAGCATCAGCTGGAGGTGACGTAGTGCTCGCACTCTTGGTGGGGGAGAGATGGGAGGAAGATAACCGCCATCATCAGCCTGAAGGAACAGAATCACAGTGGGTTTACAGGATGTTAGCTGGAAGAGGAACGAACACAGCCTCGGATCCACTCACCCTGTGGATCTTTGTGAACTCCACACACATGCGCTACATTTAGGAACATTTACATCTTGAGCTTTTTCATACAAGCTGTGGCAGTTCCTGCATAGATGGGCCATGGGACAGGTCAACATTTGGCAGTAATGCCACTCGTATGGATACCAACTGCCATGAAACGCATCATAAGAAGATGGGGCAGCGCTGGGTGTACGACGTGTTTCATGGATGTTCAAAGAGAACTGGGTACAGAGGCGTGTGAAGCCAAAAGCCTGACTCAAGAAAAAATAAGCCGATCTTCCAGCGTTCCTCCACATCCATTGGGCCGTAGAGCAGGTGCACTTATGTTGTCCTTTTTCCCCGCCTACCAGACCTGAAGTCACATCCAGTTTCAGCTCAGTCACAAACTATAAACTGGCACGGATTCATTTAGTTCACTTCAGCGGCGTCTTGTGATTGGTTGGCTAGCTCTGCACAAAGGGTCTTTTGCCAAACTGACATTTTATGTGCCTGTCCCTGAAAGTTAGTGCTTCCATTCACAACACAGCTACTGGAAATTCTCTGCAAAGTTAGGGGGTCTTGAGGTGGGATTTTGGTGGTTTAGATTAATGAACACTTTGGTTCTTCACAAATTATGTTAACAGTCCAGTAGCTGCTCTTAAAATGTTTTGTGTTTTTTTTTAATTACTTTTGCCAATTTCCTAACTAAACTAAGGTAAAAGAGGAGCATAGTCAATGCTTTCCCTTTTAGCAGCATCACTTGTTAGTGTGAATGTTGCCCTTATTGCTCTGCAACCACTTAGTGTTGAGACTTAGTTAGTGATGCACTGCAGCATATGTAAGGGAACTACATCAATAGCATCTACAAAACCTGTCACACCAAACCGCATGCTAACACAGGGAAAGGCTGTTACCATGACTACTCAGTAGGAGAGTGTGTTACTATAGCAACAGTGTGTAACCATAGCTACTCACATGGAAACGGAGAAGAGGGAGGAGAGTATGACCAGGCAGGTCCTCATAACCTCCCGTCAGGAGTGTAACACGGGGCTGGGTATCCTCCTGTCAGCACACACAGGAGGAACTCCTGTCAGTCACCCAATTGACATTCAGAGGTCATGGCCAAGGACACATTTCATTGTTAAACCCAATGAGTGTACTACAATATTCACCTAGTTTGGAGAGGAGTCTGCAGACTGACTCCAGTGTCTGAAGTAGGGTTGTATGAAGTACTAATGTCAGTGTTTTACTACAGGGGATGGACACTTTCATTTGACACCGCAGAACACACAAGGTGCTGGTTGTTATGCAAAGTGTTTTTTGCCCTGAATTTGTGTTTAAACTTTAGGAACTTTCTTAATTGTTTGTTTCACTGAGTTAGCGTTAGCCTTTAGCTCCATGTTGTGAATGTAGGCTACGGAAATACTGATCGCGGGAGTGTTCTTGCAAAGATTATGCAATACGTATAATTATACGTATTATGTTTGAAAACATTTCAATCCTGGAAGAAATCGGATATATTAGGCGCTTTCACACCGCAGTACTTTTCCCACAAAGGTTCATCAGAACTTAGTTCATGAGAACTCTTTAGTTCTCATGAACTAAGTACAGATCGCGTTCACACCGGAATAAGTCCCTGGGGGTGGATTAGGCAAATTAAGTCGCTGAGGTCACTTCTTCTTCTTCTTCTTCTGCTTTGGGTTTACTGGCAGGCCGCAAACCACTTCACGGCGTATACTGCCGCCCAAAGTCTCCGGCCGGAAGTCCCCGGAGTTAGGGACTGGCTTCAGTAGAAGCTGCTGGGACTCCCAGCACCTTCCGAGTAAATCGCTAGAACGCCGACACCTCCTCATCTCCACCGCTCCCATGTTTTCTTTTGTGTTGCCATAAGTTAGTCTCTCTGCGCTGGGCTAATGCAAATGCTAATAATGCTAATGCGAGGATAATAAAATGGCAGCTTCACAAAACTTTTTGGAGTTTTACGGGCCGTGGTTTGCAATCCGCCCAGCCAATCAGACATAGGAACCTTTTTCTCCCACGAAAGTCCCTGCTCTCTAGCAGGGACGGAAAAGGGGGTGAAAAGGTTCTCATTAACTAATTTTAGTTCCGGATTTTTTGGGTGTGAACGCAACATTTCGGAACTATATCCGAACTAAAGTGGGAAAAGTACTGCGGTGTGAAAGCGCCTCTTGCTATTTGTTTTTAAAACAAATCATCACTGAAGAAATGTCTTAAACTTTCTGAAAAGTTATTTCATCACCATTTGTATGTGTAAGATTATAATGGATACATTAAGGTCAGAGTTATCTTTAAAGTTATCTTTGTTTTGGTCAAATTATGAAAAGAGGACTTATGTGGAAACAGGAGGGTCCTGTACCTGAGTTTGGTGTTCCAGGGGAGTTGGCTAGGCTTGCCTGTGAAGAAACACTGGTTGCGTCCACAGCTGTCTTCACAGCATACCGGTTAGCTTCCTCCTGCAGCTTTGCAACATTCCTCTTATACCGAATCCTCTTGTTTCCAAACCAGTTGGCCACCTGAAGAGGAAAATACAAAGTCAGAAGCAAGCCAGGAAATCCTGCTAGCTTATTTTAACTAAACCATGTCCAAGTTAGGGTTAGGCCTGTTGCCAAAATCTTTTCATACCAAAAAAGTTTCTAGTAAACACAAACAACATCTCTCTTTTGCTAACAATTTTGAGCATCAATTTGAAATACATTTTGCTGGCTGGCTCAGCACTGAATTGATCATGGCCTCCGGTCACTAGTGGCTCTGTGAGTTTGTTCAATCATTACTGTGTGTTAATAGCCTCATCATATTGCTGATTACTAAGGTTGCAAGTTGGATTTTGAGCCGCATTGCGATCAGCACAGGTTGCTGATGTAGGCTGCTCTTTAATTTGCCAGAAGCAAATCATTTGATTGGCATAAATCCAAAGCATGGACCATAAATCAACCCAACATTACTCGGAGTGCTAAACAGTCAGTGTATGTGTCGTCCTGACCTGAGATACGGTGATGGAGCACTTCCTGGCCAGGTCCTCTTTGGCCTCCTCACTGGGGTACGGGTTTGCCAGATGGGAGTAAAAATATGTATTCAAAACCTCTGCCGCCTGCTTGCTGAAGTTTCTTCGTTTCCGTCTGGCAGAAAAGGGAGATTTCAAAAATGAACCTTCAGCGCAATAAGTAAGTACACTTTAACACTGAAAGACTGAAGTTAGGAAGAGGCGGGAAACTAAGTGTGCAAAACATACCTGGCATCCAGGAACCTGGAGCGTAGGATCATGACGGCTTCACACGTGCTCTGCTTCAACTGCATCTGGATGGTGCTGAACTTGCGGTGAATTATTCCCACCATTCGCTCGATCTCTTTGGGTGAGATGGGCCGCGTGCGGGACTGCTCCCTCAGCAGGTTCATCACGTGGTCAGTGAATTCATTGCATGCCTGTGTGGGAGGAGGGGTGAGTAGGTCAGGTATTGAGGTGAGGGAGGGAAAAAGGAAGAACTCAAACTAACTCAAACATTGGATGTCAATTTCACTATCAGATCCAGTTAAGCTTAAACTTGAGTTTACTTTGGATAACTCTGGTGACCAGAAAAAGGTTCTTAAAGGCTCAGTCCTGTGTTTATCTGACATTAAAATTACAAATCTATGACATGAGTGAAGTTTCATATCTTGACATCTTTGACAGAAAATATAAGCAATGTTTTATTATCATAATGTCTACCTGTTGGTATTTCTCCAGCTCGGCGTGGTACATCCGTCGTATCTGAGCGAGCTTTTCTTTGTACTCGCTGTGTTCTACGTTGCTTTCGGCGGGCGACCCTCCGGCTGCCGCAGCAACCACCGCCGCCGCTGCAGAGGCCCCGCCCCTCTCTGGACCCGCCACCCCCTCTGCCAGCAGCATGTTGTCCAGGCGCATGATCTGAGGGTCCGGACCGTCTTCGTCCTGCGCTCCTCGGATGCTCAGGGCTGTGAAGAAGAATAGCAACAGTTACAAAATATCTGATGGGATTTCCATCACAAAATCTTCTATTTAAAGTCATTCAGAGTTTAGTCTTTGAATGGTCAAAATGTGGACCAAATGTAAACATTATCATTGAGACTAGAATGAACGTTGAAAAGAGATGGAAAAATAGAATAATAACTTGTATATCCTGCTTATGTTACACGGAATTGTTAAGAATTTCTGGCTCAGTTATGAGAACTTGAAAAATAAGATGCACACTGCTCGAGCATATGTAAGAAACACTTCAGTAGACGGGAGCACATAACCCGCTGAAAGTCAGGTAAACTTTTTAGCTGCTTACAAACAATTCAGTCCAGTTAGTAGCTTGTTTCAGGGGGGCTCATTTAAATATCTTAGCAGATAATCTACATAACATCTTCTTCCTTCATAGCATCTCAACAAACATGAGGTTTATTATTGTTTGGACTGCATTGCATTCTTTATTTTCATTTGCGGCCAGCAAAGAGATATTTCGCCCAAAATAAGACCCAGAACAAACATATTTCCACACTAAATACAGATTCTTCAATATCTATAAAACTAAACTCTATTTCCATAAAAATACAGCCGACCCAAAAACAAAGAAAGGCCCTATTTTCTTTAATCTGAGGTCCGAGACGCTTTGTCTGGCCAAGTCTCTTCCTAGATATCGTGCAACAACAGCCGGCTAATGGTCTTAAGGTGGACATAGAAGTGAAACATTGCAATAACCTTCAAAAGGAATTAGATTTTCTTAGATAACAAATAAATACAGCACAAACAGAGCAGACACAAACAGAGAGCTTCAGAGAAACCACTGGCCCAGGAAGAGCTGACAGTAAAAATACTGTATGATAAAGAAATCACAGCCAGAGCTGTGTCGGTCGGGGGCTGCGAGGAGATCAAATCTTAAGTGGTGTCTGTATACTGGAGTAAGAGAAGAGACCAGGGTCAGAGACACAGACAACAAAAACCACTGCCAGGATGGAGGTTTATACATGAAGAAAAAACAGTAGCTGTTGCCATGGTAGTGATGCCAGCTTTCCTTGGCATCCCCGTGCCCAAAGAGAAAACAGCCACACAAACACAAGCATTTTGGCATACACACACAGCTGTTAATTAACGCCAGCTCTTAAGGAGCGACTAAAGAGCCAGTGAAAAATTAAGGCTCATTTGAGAGGTCGTTAATTTGCACAGCTATGCAAATTAGGTGGCAATTACAAGGTAGTTCCAGAGATCACATTCATAATCCCGCAACGAGGGCGGTGACAGCCTCTGCATCTGGCTAACAGCATTTGACACACACACACACCTATCAACATTAACTATCAGTGATGGCCTTCACTTTTGCCAATCTATCAGACACACTAGTGATTTCCCAAACCATGTTACAGTAGTGTAATGTGGTTACAAGGTGAAATACGGCTGTAATATTGCATCCAAATGTATGTATACCACCCCTAACACACTGAAGTGCCAATTTAACCAGATAACAATATAAACCAACTACTCAAACACATGTTTGACTTGCATGTACACCTGTGACCTAAGATTTTCATCGTCATAACTACACAGTAGCTATGTTCGTATGACAAAATAAAAACCTTGAACCGTATGAGTGTTTTTCTATGGCTTTAGATCACAGACTGGAAATAAAATCCATATTTTCCTTAGAAGTATGGACAAATAAATAATAACCAGACAACCAGTTGGCAGAGAAGTGCTCCGCCACATCTGCATCCCCCTTTTTCCTCCTTCCTTCATTGATATGTCCATCATCCTAACCCCTCGTTTCCTGCCTCAAAAGTACCTTATTTCTATTTTCTTCTTGAAAATCTTTGATAAGTCCCTTCTACCTTTTTCTGAGATAAACTGTAAAACATGAAAATCAAAGATAAACGTTTTTGTAATTGGAAATAAGGGGTTGAAGAAAGCTATATGTGAGAAACAACAAGGCCAATCATCAACATTTCATTTAGCAATAAAGTAAACCATACAAACTAATCATAGCCAACAACATGAACATTTAGTCTCCAAGTCTCTAAAATGGCCTAAACTAAAACAGAATAAAAAAATAACTTTCATCAAGGTCGGAATTGGATAAGACAGCATCAGTTGTAGGTATGTGTACCTCATAAATCAGCAACTAAGGATTTAAAGCGGGTAAGACACTAAAAACCCACTATACTCAAAAGGGGGCTGGGTCCCATTACTGTTAATTACTTCATAATTAGTCTAGAGTTTGGGCAAGCCTTCAAGATTAGCACCCAGTGACTCACACTCGGTGCACAGGATAAAGAGATGAGCTGCGGCCCATGACGCCTCGTGGAACAGAGCGAGTAAATCCAGCTTTTGAGAGCACAGTCGGGGCTGTGGGTGGCAAACTGTCCCCCCACTGAGAATCTGTTTGTAGTGACGGCTGACAGGACTCCGGGGTCTGGAGATTATCAAGTGTCTGCCAATCCATGAAACAAAACCATTACTGCCTCTGCCTCCAACTCATCCATCAATCTGTCCCTCTCTTGTTCTTGTCGTTTGTGTTCTTACTTTGCCTCTGTCTTATTTTGTTCCTCTGAAAAACATCCCAGAAAATAGGGATGTTAAAAATAGAGTTGAGTTTGGAAGGCATGTTGTGTTCCCAGTTTGTCTGTTTATAAAGAATATAGTATACATCATCACCAAAATATGTGCTATTTTTAGCCAACTCAATTTATTACCACAAGTTGAACTGTTCTTTTTGGAATTGATGGTCATTAGACTTCACACTATACTGGCCCCAGGCTCTGGAACACTCTGCCCCTCCATGTGAGGTCGGCCCAGACACTAGGGGTTTTAAATCCTCACTAAAGACTCACTTCTTCTCCATGACCTTCTAGTCAGAGCGGAGCACGACACCTCCCTGTGTTCTTTATATTTCTGTTGTAAATTATTGTCTTTTATTGTGATTGTAGTAATGTGTTTTTATGACATGTACAGCACTTTGGCTCGACCAAAAATCGTTTTTAAATGTGCTATATAAATAAAACTTGATTTGATATTCACGCACATTTTTTAAATTATTTTACAAAATGTACATCGGAAGACCGCAGATGCTGTCGATGTAGCACCCGTAACTCAATGAAAACATTGAGTCATTGTTTTGCAAAGAACATGGAACAATCTTCATTATTTTGTCTCAATTCGCTAAAACACCACCTTTTATCTGAAATAAAAGCATTTAGGGACATGTCAAATTCGACCGCAAGACAACAGGAAGGTTAAGGAGGAAAGAGACATTTAGGATAACAGAGAAGTGGGAGGATATATCCAGAGGAGGATGGGAGCATATCCGATGAGAGAACAGGAGTGTTTTAAACTGTCGCCGTCATGTGAGGAGTTATTTTTAATGGTTCTAACTTGGGACAGAGAAGAAGAGAACAAGACACTGACAGCAGGAAAGGGAGGCAGCAAGTGGGGACTGGTTATGTCCTAAACTTCCACAATAATCAGGGTATGGAGACTGCTGGGAAGTCCAGACAACCACATACAGAGAAATGTGAATTTGAACAGTTATTGAGCATATGGATAAAACAGTGTGAAGGCTCAACAACAACAATGGAAACAAAGCGATATTATTAAGTATATATTCCCCTTTTGTTTCATTGTTTGTATTTGGTCAAAAAAAGCCAACACCAACAATCAATCCATCCTAAATGAGTAGTTTCAGATGCTAACGGCTGATACAGCTTTTGTGCTGCATAGCTCCAAAAACGACATCTGTATGGGCTATTTTTGGCAAAAACTAAAGTCGGGCTGTTTTTAATAAATGGCTGAGCCTTAAAAAATAGTAAACCTTGAATCTGTCGCCTGTTACTGTTATGAGTATCTATTAGACCGTATATTTTGTAGTGTATGAACTAAGAGACGGTGTGAGAATGATGAACGTAGAAATGATTATGAATATTATTCTGTTAAGGTCTTTGTAGGAATTGTCACAGTTAAGGAAGTCTGTGTTAAGGTGCGTTACATTTGATTTTCTCTATTGTTCCACATACATTTAATTTGGGGGGAAAACGTACTTTGGTCCCTGAATTTCGGCTTGTAGGCCTGCAGAACCTGTGCTTGTTTATAGTAGCATCTATCTCTGTAATAACACCAGCCTTATCGTTTGATCACCTATGACTTACAGGGGAAGCAGTCATTGTTCTTTATTTCATAACAAAGCGAGGCACTGAATGAAATGCATGAACCCAGATCAGGTTACCCTTGTTGGCCACACGGAAAGCCAAGAGCTGCGATTAGAGAAGTGATATAAACAAACAAGCAACTTTGTGACCAGATCTGTATATCTGGGCTGAGTGTGAAAGATCTGAATGACAGTGAGTAAGGGAGACACTAGTTGCCTTGGAAACTCTGCATCCCTCCTGCAGCCAACCTCAGGGTTCCCGTCTCTACCTAAGTGAATGAAATGAGGAAATAACGAGGGCTGCTGTGTGGCTCACACTCCTCTGTGTGTGTGTGTGTGTGTGTGTGTGTGTGTGTGTGTGTGTGTGTGTGTGTGTGTGTGTGTGTGTGTGTGTGTGTGTGTGTGTGTGTGTGTGTGTGTGTGTGTGTGTGTGTGTGTGTTCTCCACTCCAAGTTAAGAAGATGTCCCCTTAATTCAAATCTGCTGCTGCATCAGTAATCTGTGATTGAATGTCAAGATCTAATATTTAGGTATGAGATCTTTGTTACAACCATTGTGCTAACCATTGAGTGTATGCGGCTGGAACACATCTCGTGTTAGTAAACCAGATCAGACAGTCCCGTTGCTCCCTTGCAGTCAAAGCAGTTGGTTATGCCTGTGACAGTGGTTTGGCAGGAGAGCATTCAGCAGAGGATTATTTTTTTAGCATATTCCCTTTAGAAAATGGGGCACAAGAGAGGCAGAAAGTGTGGCAGTTCATAATAACTGGTAGCAGTAGATAAAGAAAGGCAGGGATATGCCAACACCTTTCTCTCTGTCGCAGACGTGTCATAATTGTTTCTCCTCAACGTGATGATTTATTGTGTATATTTTTATTATTCCAAATGTTTCAAACCTAGAGAAACACCTCATTTAACATGTTTTCTTTGTTTTTACATCGTGTCCATTTGTTTTGGAGAGAAGACCGCCGCTGATAATACCGTTCATGGTGAAAACCTCCTGAACTGAAGGATTCTTAACCCGGAGAAGCGTTCTTTATCGACCCAAATGGCGGGGGAAACAACAACTCCCATGATCCCACATTACTTCACGGAGCCACCAAACTCCTTTTATTCTCAATTTGACGTAAAATGGCGAAACTGCTATCAGCCTGACGATCAAAACAATGTATTTTATCCGTGGGGTTAACCTTGACTACCTTAATTAAAGAGTTCAAATCTTAATCAGTATGCAAGGTTTGCATTTATTGGCTGATATTAAAATAAATAAAGCATTGGAACAACTTACCTGTCCTTTCTTTGATCTCACACAGGACACTGAAGAGGGCGGGCTTCATTCTGTGGCAGTTTAAAGCATGTTTCCTTTTATGGAAAATGACAGACAGAGAGACAGAGATTGTGGATTACAAACCGTTCTTTGGTTATATGCTCTCTGTTACAGGCCCTGACATCCATCAACAATAGATCATGCAGACACATTGCCAGTCAGTGCTGAACAGACTGGATTCAGATGAGTGAGTGTGCAACCAGACCTGTTCAGGAGTCTGACTGAAAACAGGCCTGAGCACATAGTTGTCTAACTCACATAGACTTACTCACCTCAGTGAAGAAAGACAAGAAGATTGAAAGCACAATCATGCAGAAACTTAGAAAAAGTCAAACGACATAGAATAGGGATGGCACAAATAATGAAATGCAATGTTGATACTCTATCATGAAGACAGGACACTTTCTGTCACTTTCTTGCCTGCACACATATCTTCTGAAATATACTGCTTCTTAGCCGTTTTGCCAGTTTAAGAACATTTCATTTAGCTGATTGTGTCGTGCGTTTGCCCCAACATGTTTTAAAACTCTGTATGTAATTATTATGGTATTGCATATTAGCAATCACGGTTTCATTCCTGCTTCGTAAAAAAAAACGTTGGACAAAGTCATTCGTAGTAGTTTACTGCCGAAGCTTCAAAACAAATATTGGGACAGGCTATAATACAACTAATGTGAAATGTATTCCACTATTCAACTTTAATTTAAAACAATGTCCTAATATGTACAAGTTATATATTTGTAATTGAGTGTTATACATTTGATATTGAACAAAATAGTCTTTATTTGACAAAGTCCCATGAGTTACTGTGTTATTTCAAGCCGAGTAAAGTTGTCAAAAATATAATATTGACACATTGATACTGAATAGGGTTTAATACTCATTTTATGCAGAATTGATACACAGGGACTGGATGTGTTTACTGCTCTTGATAAATGTGTTTCATCTATATATACAAATCTAAAATGTTATGCCATCAATAACAATATGTTCCTGTGGTATCAAACATAGTACTTCATTGTGATAGTTTCTAACATGTCATATTGAAGTTATAACTCCAACACTGGTGCCATGGAGCCAGAGCTGGCTCAGCTTTGTGTTAAGTGTTGTTGATAAGGCCTGTGGGTCGAAAGGTGGTGATGCACAGCTGGAGAAGGGGGGCACAAAAATTCCAGCAGTACTGTGGATGTGGGGGTTGTTATTACAGTGTATAACAGTGAGTATTAAGTGTGTGAATCCATGCAGCTTGAGGGGGGTACAGTGATGATGATATCCCCCCCTGTGCAGACCCAAATCCCACTCTTAAACACAGTGTGCCTTCTATCAGGCCGTATGTTATTACCTGGCCTGGGCCTCATCGAGACTCTCATCTGTGATGACCATGATCTGCTGCAGGATCTCCCCAATGTCCTGCTGCTGCGGCTGACCCATGTTGTGATGTTTCCTTATGTTGTCAGGGTCACCCACATCCTCGTGAGACAGTCCACTTAGTCCAATATGACCCAACATCATGCGGGACTGGTCGTCCATACCTACAATGTGGCTCTTATTGTGGAGGGAGAGGTGGGAGGAGGAGGATCACTAGAAAAAGGGGTTTCCTTCTCCAACTTTCAGCACTTAGAAAAACGAGAAAAGTTTCCCATAAAAAAACATTCAGGGCTCAAAACTGAGTGAAGTGTTGCCTCAGCTGGAGCTGCCTGCTGGTCTTGGTCTGAGTAACAAAGGAAAAAAGACAGAAGTGCAGCTGCCCTAGCATTTGCTTATCGGAAGAAAGCAAGAAAACGCTACAAAACTAAGGCTATATAAAATGTGGTTCTTCTTTGGCATGGGAGTGGTCGGTTCACAGAATATTAGCCTTTAGTAAGATACTGTTGTTTTTACGAGTAGCCTCGCGCGGGTACGTACGTCTTTTCTTCCCCTGAAAAGACGACCGGGAGGCTCGACACAATTACAAAAACTGGCTTGTTACAAAGCTCGTTGCTTTTCCGAGAGGCTGCTGGGCTCATGCGTGTTAAATACAGGTCTGCACGGTGCTATAGCTTTATCTAATGACCCGGGAGCCCCTTTGATGTCGTCGTCTCCGCCTGCTCTCCTTTTATCCATGAGTCCCGAATACTGCTCGGTAATTAAAAGTGAGCACCGACGCGGTGAGCTAAAAGACGGTCTAGGAAAGGTATTCCCGATTAACTCCAGCAATTCGGTTCCGTCCAAGTCCCACAGAGCCAGGTTTGAAGCCCTCGGTTGTTGCTTATTGCTGTTTTCTTTCCCTGTACGGCTGCTGTCCCACTCCTCCCAGAAAAACACCATGGAGCAATGCCGTCCTCTGTCAAATTACACAGGATGAGAAAACACTACTTCCGCCCAAACATTTCACACTAATGGGCTATACATTAATGCAGATAACTCGATTAGAAGCGTAATTGTATTACTACTAAGAAAAACAGTGAAACACCATGTCTTATGTTCATTTGAATGTTTTTTGCAACATATACGTCAATGCAAAATGCCAAAACAAGACAAATGTTGAACCACTGATCGTGTTTTGGAACAGACGACAGAACCTGGGGGTTGCCTGTATTTTTTAAAATGCACAGTGTTCTTCTGTAGGGACTGAATTGCTATGTATGGCCATTGTTACGTTTGATCGTCTACCTTTCTGGCTTTTTTTGCTATTAGTTAGGACCTTACAAATGGTCAGATTCATTGAGACTGCATATCTTGAGCAGGGTAGTCTATTATGTGGACATTTCTAATGCAACGCTGCTTTAATTCACTATATCATGTGCATAGTTAAGGTTATTTTACAAAAAATATTATGTTAAATGTATCTGAGATAGCAAATAAGGTATACGGAGTCTTCCACATACTTCTCCTTTAGGTCATTGCCACATTGATTATGTTTAATCTTGTGCCAGACCAAACAAAAATTGGCTATAATAGGCTTATACCTTCAATTAACTATTTAAAATGCGACCTTTACCTGCTTCTGTTTACCTACACATAATTGTAACACATGGAAAGCAAAAAAGGTTACACTAAAAATAAAGCGTTAAAATGCTTTTATTTTGAAAGCGACGGCGATTAAATTCCGGCCTCTTTCTGGCTTTTTCTGGTTTTCTTGACGCAGCTCTCCATCAGTATGTCGCGGGCTCCTCCGGGGAGTGCTGCAGTTTGAGTTCAACACCGCGAGGAGGCCGTCCTTTCACCATGGAAACAATGTTGTTGTTGATGTTGATTATGATGCTGCCAATAATACTGTGTGTGTGTGTGTGTGTGTGTGTGTGTGTGTGTGTGTGTGTGTGTGTGTGTGTGTGTGTGTGTGTGTGTGTGTGTGTGTGTGTGTGTGTGTGTGTGTGTGTGTGTGTGTGTGTGTGTGTGTGTGTGTGTGTGTGTGTGTGTGTGTGTGTGTGTGTGTGTGTGTGTGTGTGTGTGTGTGTGTGTGCGTGCGTGCGTTAGTCCTTGTTACAAAGGCAGCATCTTAAAGTGACCTCATCGTCTATGTAGCTTACAAGATTGATTACCATACTATACCATTTTACATTATGTCTTTCTATTCCAGTTTCATGTATCTTTTCAATAAAAGCACGTTCTGCTGCATTTCTTGTATGAAATGTGCAATGCAGATAGTATTAGGATATATCATTATTATTTATAATGTAATGATGTTCCGAAAGGATGCTAAGTTAAATTATTATAAATTAAAAAAAAGGAATATCATCCACGAATCCCTTTTCAACAACCTCAGTATAAGCTGTGTGTGAGGGGGGGTGGGGGTTGGGGACATAATTTATGTATTTATTCCTAGTGTTATTCGATTGAGACTGCATTGTGTTTGTTTTCACAGGAGCTAAATGCATGTGTGTCTACTGCTGCCACTCCACACAGGAGTCTGACTGATGGAAAAAGATGAATGAATCCACCAGCATAGTAGGAAGTACCAGAGCTCTCTCTCAGTCTATCACTCTCATATTTACTACCACTCACACACCGGCTGCTGTGTGCACCCCCCACCAAGCAGACACACAGATGTGTGCAGGCATTCAGACACGCACAGACACACTCACTGGCAATTTGCCTCTTTTCCCTTTGGTTTCAGTCCCAGCAGATTACAGCTGGCTCATTCTCATTAATTGGCCAATCAGCCAATAAACCTAAATGCTCTGAATTAACACTGATTTCTGTTTTCACTGAGATGGAACAGTCCACCAGCTCCTGCCCTCCCCCCGCACAACCACCCCCTGTGGTCTGCTCTGCATGTTGCCATGCCAACAGGGACCTGAGCACCTCTGGATGCTCCGACCGAGTGTCTTTTTCTCAATTTCACACATGTACACACACAACATTAGGGTTGATTAAGAGGAGTGCCTGTGTCTGTTTGTACTGTCTAGCTCTCAAAGAGCCTCACACTGCCTGCATGGTGGAATGTATACAGAAAGGCTAATAGGGTGATTGTTTTTTCATTTGGGAATTGTTCTTTGTGCTCATTGATGACTCCAACCAGATAAAAACATCCCAGATAATTTCCCCTTTCAAGGATTTGAAGTGGATTTGACCCCACTGCTGAATATTTTGTGTGTGTGTGTTTAAATCAGCACCTTTGAGGAAAAGGCTGGTGACACATTACTCTTATTGTCCCCACAAAAATATATAAACAAACAACATGGTTGTTCTGTAGTGGTCTCAGGGTGTCTGAGGGACAGTGGCTGAAAAAAAAAATAGGGCACCACCTGCATGCAGCAGGGCACCATGCAGTGTGCATTTATGTAGGTCAGCTTATTTGGCACATCATCACGTTATCTCCAATGAAAGGTCATCCTAGGGCACTTTATAATGTTGTATCTGGATTCAATAGGGCCTTTTTTGCTGCGTTTTTTCGAACATGGGGGCACCCTTTTGTTTCACCAGTGGTCGCTATGGTGCGTCTCATTTAGCTTGGGAACTTGGAGCTGCGAAAGACACCACATCGGGTTGACTGTTCCTGTAACAAGGCGGAAGACTGTTAGCTCTGTTAGTCACTGGATTACGTCCATGATAAGAATGCATTAGACAGTATGTTGTGTGTATAACACAGTAGAGACATGTTTACAGATGTAGCCTAACTACTAACGGTCATATATTACTACAGCTTTTACTTAATTGATGTGCAGATTTTGAAGTTGAGATTGGTCAGGTTCTCTCGGCTCTCCTAAACAAAAACCTTACTTTAGAGTCGTTTCAATGGAAATATCCAACTGGGAACTCGAAATTCTGACATCCCAATACAACTGGAACAAACCAATAATGCTTTCTTTCATCCCCTTTTTCTCTGTGGCCTTTAGCTCCATGCCAAGTGGGCAAAGTAGTTTCCTAAAGCAGCAAAAAACTATTTATTTGGAGATGAATAGTGCATTTGTTGGGTAGTTATTTTTGAACACATTCACTTTGGTGCGTGTGTATTTATTGGTGCAGGATGGTGCATGCAGGATTGAATCAAAATACTCTACAGTGCTCATGTTCATGTTAAAAAATAATATGTCAGCCAGTGCAATGTTGTGGCGCATTGATACGTCTATAAAAAACAATTAACCACATCAGGCTTCGGCTACACATCCAACACTGTAGATCTATTGTTAGTGAAATCAATTGTTGGTTTTGGTTTCCCAGTATCCTTTAAATATGCTGCATAATTTTCATTACTGCCTCACATCTTCTCATTGGCCTTTTAAAACCCTACGGCTCCTTATAATTCATCCCTTCTTTATCTCTCATTCCCTGTTACACGCCTCCTGTCACCCTGCTTCTCTAGCCCCCCCTACTCTCTCCTCTCCTCCACCTCAGTCTGCCCTGCTCACCCTCATTTTCATGTAAATGAGAATCGATCCCTCTTGCAGCCCCCCTCTGCAGTTCTCTCCTCTTGGTTCCTTAGTGAAAACAAAATGTCGTGGACCAGCCGAACATCTGGTCTGCACTGGTCAGGCAACATATATCATTTAATGAATGCAGCTTTCATTGTAATTTGTCAATAAAACGACTAACTGTTTAACAACGTTTTCATGATGTGTGGAGATGAGAAAGAGTAAGATTGAAATTGCTGTAAAGTCAAATGAATATATACAAAACATTATTCTTTATATACCAAAAAACATTATGCATATTTGAGGTACAGAGCTGAGTGTTTAGAATCAGGAAAAATATGATTTTATTTGAAAACACGCTCCAAAGCATTCAAATGAACGTTAGTTCGAACGCTGGTGAGTTTAGTTTACATATTTACAATTTTCTGACATGGTGAAATCTAAAAGATGCAGAATTTAACCTATAAATAAAACAAAAAACATAATAATATACACACATGTAACAAATATATGTAACCATCTTATTTTGTTGTATTTCAACTTAAATGTACCTTGAAATATGATGCATGGTGTGAACAAGCGAAAAATAGGCTAAATGTTAAGCTATTTATTTGTCATGTGGGTGCACGAAAACCGAACTACAGCATATTAAATATATCGGTTTCACGCAAATAGCAATAACAACGTATGTGTAATTCCTGGTATATAATTGGACAACCCTGATGCAATAGTGCCCCTGATGCAATAGTGCCCTCTTGCGTTCAGAATCGAGTATTCATGTATTGCCGACGTCACGCCCCGTGGTTTGATGGGAGTTGGAGTCATAATGGATTCGCTACTTCCTGCTTTCACGAAGAAGACCGAGAAATTCAGGCTCTTAACCCAAAAGTAGTTTTTCTGCTGAACCGTTTGACCTCGAAAAGGCAGAAGTGGACACAAAGACAGAGTAAGTTTGTATTTTCCTGTTTTTATTAATAGACTCCCGAAACAAAAGGAGATAAGCTAATTTTGAACGAGAAGCAGCGAAGTTTTTGTCAATGGAACAGACGCTGCTATTTTAAGGTAAACTCGGTTTGTCATGTAAAGCTAAGCACTTGCAATGTGCCTCAAAAAACGTCTTGTCTTTGTTTAACTCACGTCTTCCGATCCAAAACTCTATTACAATACACTTGAATTACTAAGAGCAAGATATAGGAGTGATAACGTCAATGTCCCAGTTGCTGGTAAAGCAATTAAACTGTCAAAGCAAATTTCCCATACCAAAATAGAGTTCGCACAATAAGTATTACGTAAGAAATGATTGGTAAGTGAAGCATTATTTTAAAAAAACTAAACATTCCCACATCTGTCCTCGCTTACATTTTACACTTTAAAGATATAATTATTATTGGTATTTGTACATTTTGTTCATTTCAATTGCACATCTCTTACCTACTTTTTGTAGGCTTTATCATGAGTTGTTTCTTGTGAAAACTAAAGAGAATTGTCAGTTAATAGGCATTTGATACTCATGTCAAATATTATATTTTGTTTGGGTTCAATCTCTTTACTTCATACTATAGTCACAAACAATATGTACTCTTACTAGGGGTATGCTTTTCTATTTATGCTACCATTAGACAAACTAGGCGAGATGTGTGTAGTAGACCGTCAGATATTTTTGACTCCATCATTTACCAATACCACTGAATGTAGAAGAAAATTCAAATAATTGTCTTTATTTGCACGAAAAAAACACTTTTACCTGTTTCCTGATGTGTATCATCAATTTAATATAAATAACATATCACTTGGAAAAGGATTTCATCCATATGAACCCTTACTTTCTCCCAGCATCGGGGTGTTTGGCAAAACGTTTTTTGTATCTAATATAATGTTATAAATAGAGAAATGCAGGGGATGAAGTGCCTCCTCCCTGCTGTAGTTGGGACACATTCTTGCAGTGAATAGCTTCTTTCTGTCCTTTCACATTGAGAGATAACACAACTATTCAGGCTGAATAGGATCTTTCTGTTTCATAACAATGCAGTTTAGGGAATAACGTGAATTCTTAGCCTGACTGAGAGCCTGACGCCTTTCGTCACATGGACAGAGCTAAATATTTGGTTTCACAAAGAAAGCAGATTCCGACACACAGACAAGAAATACATGTAATGTAGAAATGAAATGTTTATTGTCCCAGTCAAATGAGAGCACTAACAGGATTTAAAAGTACTAGTCTCCACCACTAAAGCACTCATATAGTTGTCATCTCTTTCCGAGCCTTCCTTGTTTTCTGTACTTAATTTCGTTCCCTCGTCCTCAGATGTCTCTTATGGAGCACAGTGCCGTCCGGCCGGTCACGGCAGTGGCGTGGACCTCCAACAGCAGCACCTGCCCCAAAGATTTCACTCTGGTATATATACTTATTATAAGATCTGCAGCAAATGGTCGACTAGTAATTAGTCAGCCAACATAAAAACAAGCTTTTTGATAATCAATGTTTTGATGAAGTAATATGTCATTTGAAAATCGCAGTTTTTAGCCTCTCAAATATGGAGATTTTCATAGATTGATAGCTGATCACAAAAGGCACCATTTAAAATAACAGATGCATTTTTCTGCAGTTTTCTACTGCCATCTTTTCCAACTTACCGAATATTGTTAGAATACGGAAATATTGTTGACTTTAATCTATGTGTGGATCGTGTTGACAAAATACCGATTTTTTTCCACTGCCTGCTTAGTACAAAAACCATGAGAATGGTAAAGTCTCAATACTGAGTCAATCTTGGGTCAGATGTAGTATGAAAATCTAAATGTACCCATTTTCCTCCCAAATCTCTCTGTCCCTCTGCAGATCAGCATCACAGAAGACGGCGCTACAGCAAACTTTACACGCAGCTTTGCGATGAAATCTGGATATTACCTCTGTTACAGCAAGGTAACATAAAAAGATACACTTCCCCACTTAATAACCCATTGTGTGTTTGCATTACCACATTACATCATGCATGTTTCCAAACAACCCTAAGTTCTCCCTCCCCCTCTCTTTCTTTAGGACTTGAAAGGCGGGATGGTAGTGTCGGACATTCAGCTTATTTCAGACAAGGACTCTATTCCTCACGGTTATTGCTTCATAGCAGAACACCTTGAAGCGAGTGAGTACATACACACTTACATTCGGTTCTGCTGTAAGGGACTTCTGACCCTTCATAATGAATTCATTTCCTTTTCAGCCCTCTAAACAATGAAAATGTTTATTTCACCAATTCTGGTTTTCCTTTTCTTCCCAACTGTTCTGATTTGTCTTAGAAATGAAAAATAAATCACATATTCTGGCCGTTAGCAAGTTCAAATTTCTATTTGATGGAATTAACTCCAGAACAGTTTGCCTCTCTGTTCTCTAAGTCGTATTTATTCACTACTGATTTCCCTTACAGTCTGTATTTATTTGTGTGTGTGTTTCCAGAGGCCTCAGTTTGGAAGAAGAAGCGCGTGTGTGTACGCATGGTCCCGGTGGGCAGTGTGGACACAGCTGTGTTGGATATCAAAGTGACCGCCAAAAGCAAAATGATGTTGCAGCATTACACATATGTGGGGTTAGTAGCATTCACATACACACACATTGGATGTTTATCTGTTCAGTTAGAAATCCTCTATTAGGATTGTACACCTGGGTTGTGAGGCGGACGGTGGTCTGTAGTCAGAAATGAGTCATTTAAAGACAAATTGGACTCAATTTGTATTAACGCTTTTTATGTGTCACATGTGCCTTTTTTCTCCAGAGATGTCCATGGCTACGTGCTGTGGTGCAGAAAGGGACATTTCTCCAACCCCATGCCCCAAGCTAAGCCCCGCAGTGTGAGCCTGAACCTCCACCAACTCTCAATTGACCAGCCGGTCGCTCCCCTGCCCCTCACACCCAGGTACTGTTCTTGATTTGATATCTAATATAGAGAAAATAATCAATATTTTGGTAATTTTTTTAATTTTTCATTGTTTATTTGGGGAAATCTTGGCTTTTCTGGTGCACATGTTTTTTTAATACAGCCATTAAAATGACAATAATGACTGGAAAACCGTTTTTTTACTTTGAAGACAATGAGATAAACATACACATTTTACTCCTCTTCATAAGAACATTTTCTGCAGGCTGCTCTACAGTTTGTATTCTGGATATATTTTACTATTGACATGAACACCTATTTATCTTTCTGCACAGCAACCCTCCTCCTCCACTGCCGAATAACAAATTGAGCCAGAGACGCCATAGCCTCCACAACAAAGATACTGGAGACAAATGTGCTGACGGCAGCATCCCGGGACTCACAGGTACTCAAGCTCTACTAAATCACAGTAAACGTCTCCCCATTCCTCACTGCAGGCAGCCTTACATCTAACTGTTCCCCATCTCCACTCTCTGCAGCTCTAGATGGAGTTCCCTTTAGCCTTCACCCAAAGTTTGATATCCAGGCAAACGGCACGGTATGTCTGACTTTTTCAACAACAAATGGATGTCATTTACAGCTGTTTTCTACCTCACATTATCTCTTGTTTTTCCCTTTTACCTCAAGCATTTGATTTAAACACATATCCTTAACTTTGAAATATATCTCTCTCAGGCACTTCAACTGAATTCCCAATTGAACAACATTCGTATAAAGTCTCTCCAAGACATTAAAAACGAGGTAGGGTCACATTGATGCTCAATTTCTGTAACGCTTACATTAACAACATGGCATTGTCCCCTCAAATATATACTCCCTTTTTCTTTTTTCCAGTATAACTACACTTTTGCAGTGGAGGAATCTGCTGCCAAGAGGATCCGACCATCAGTGCCAGCAGAAGGCGTCCCATCAGCTCAGTGATACTCAGTTTAAGATTTGACAAATCAAAAATATCAGACGACATATTTTTGCTCTGTCCAAATGTGTCCAGTGTGACATGCAACATCCAGCTACATTATTTATCATAACGGTCAATTATCAGATTGTCTAAAGGGAGATTTATACTTGAGACAATCATGCTCCGGAGAGCTTGTCTGACTTTGCATTCCTTTTTATTTCCTATCATGTAAAGTGTTTACTCCGTTGTTACCATCTTCAAGAATTCCAAGCTTTTCTGAATGGATTTATACTTGTACAGAGGTTTGTCTTGAAATGGCTTTACACTGTTAAAGTGTTAAAGATGTAATGTATAAATCTACTGTTTTGGGCCTACTAATCTACAGTCTGACTTTATATGCTCAATTTCCAAATGAGTAGTTGTCAAAAACACGCACTTGCCATTGCAGATGTGTCTAATCTCCTTCAATACTACTCATCCTTATCCATTTGGGCCATTAAGAGGTTTTTTTAAGCAGAGCTGTGTTGAGCAATGATGGAAGCATTTTGCTGGAGACGTTTAACTGAACTCACTAGACACTACAATATCTTAATGTAGGATTAAGTGTATGAAGAGTAGCCTTCAACTACACGTTTGTTTTATTCCCCCTGCAAAATAACATATCCTATTTTAGGGTTCATGGAGGAAGGTTGTATATTTAGCTTTGTGTTAGTCATATTTAAACAAGATAGGTTTGAAAATAGTTTTTGTTGTTGTATCTATTAGGTGGAACGAAGACCAAATATTTATCTTTTCATTGTACAATATATAAAGTTTTGTTTTTTTATGGTCTGTATAGCAAGATTGCATGGTAAATAATAAAAACTTAAGAAGCATCAAAAAGTAACATGTTGTTTGTATTTTTTTTAAATATACAGTTAACAACAAACCACTTGCACATCAGTGTTTCCCCTAGGTTTACTGCTTTGAGCGGGGGGGGGGGGGGGATTGCAATTTGGTTCAAATTATTTATTTTATTATAAAAAAAAGAAAAATTATAATTTTTTTTTTTTTTAAACATCTTGAATTTCAGGGGGCGCGGGGCTCCGTTGGCGGGGCGCAGCAATGGTAGGGGAAACACTGCACATTACCACATGCTAGTCAGAGATGGTGGTTCATTCATAGCCTGCTTTGGAGCCATTCCTGGGGTTTTAAGTCCGTGACAAATCTTGTCTTGCAGATTACAGACACACATTTGATTCATATTAAATTGGTTTAGTCTTCATTAAACATTTTTTTAATTTGGTTTGCTATTTTTAACTTGGCAATTAATCGTTAACATCAGAACATTTAGATTTGTATTGTCAACTCCTGATTCCTTTTCTTAATTGTTCATTATATCCAAAATGTACCATTTTATTATATCCTGGGGTTATTTTTGTATCTATTCAGAACGCAGTTTTACATGTTCACTGCTTTTTAGAGACTACATGTAAATGCATCATTCTGCTTCCCATCTAGCAGCAGTAATAATGCATTACTGCCCCCTGCTGTACTATGCTGGATATGGTATGTATGCATAACCTTTTACATCGGTCTCCCTGCACAGTGAACAGTTATGTAACCTGTCAGCTGGAATCTTTCATAGTTTTTTTGTAAAGAATTAATCAATCAATTTAAATGTTTTCTTTAAAATGATACATGTATCACAAATTACCTAATTTTAAAGTGGTGCCTGCAATTATTGCTCTCACATAATCAAAGGGATTAAATATGTAATAATAAAATAAACAAGAAATCACTTACATGACATGTGCTATATCCACAAATTAGTTTTCCATAATATTTCTCTGTGTGTTTAAATCATAGACTGTGTAATATGTATGTGATGTGTAATTTAACACAAGCTTTTTGACCATTTTGACACTTGGTAGTGCCTAGGATTATATTATAAAACGGTATTATTATCTTTGTTACAGAAAGTAAGAAACATTAAAAATATAAAGACAGAATGTGACAGAAAGGCTCATTTCAAATCTCAATTCAGATCAAACTTAAACTATTTGTATGGGGGGGGGGGGGGGCACACAATCATATTTGCAAATAAATAAAATAATAATAACATGGTAAGCCTGTTTAATTGTGTCCAGTCAGTAACCAACTTAAGAAACAAATATATGGATTTTGAATGAATTATTATGTGCTCATTTAAAAGCAAACAGTGTATTGCAGTACAGTACATTCTAAATAATCACATAATTAAAGTCAAACATTTAGATTACACAGATGTTATTATTAGTATATTTGATCACTGCCAGCTTTCCTTCTGACTGATGTGTTTGATTTGAAGCACTGCAGCCACACAGTGCCTCTCTTTGTACATCCACGCTGTCTTTCTGCTCTGTTTGTTCTGCTTTCCGGAAAACGGGCTGATTCCAACCAGCTGTTTCCCGCCTCACACAGATCAGCTGCACACACACACACACACACACACACACGTAGTAGGCGGAGGCATCAGACTAACACACAGACACACGTAGTAGGCGGAGGCAAGAAGCCACACACACACACATTGGAGGGAACCCCATCAGCTGTGGGAAGCAACACAGCTTGAACTTACTTTTTATTTTTCTAAGTGTATTCTTCAGATTGGAAGATTTTGAAGCGGTATTTTAGATATGCGCCATTGAGGAGTTCAGAGAGAGCTTTGTGCTAAGAACGTACATCCTAATATTTTAACCAGGACAGCAGTGGAGGAAGAAGAAAACACGGAGTACAGAAGGAGGCTTTGAAAGCATGGAATACTTCATGATGCCGACCGACAAGATCCCGTCCTTACAGCACTTCAAGAAGACGGAGAAGGATGTAATTGGCGGTCTCTGCAGGTGTGTAGCTAAATATTTTTTTTGTTGATACGGCGCTGCTTGCACAAATCCTCCCTCGTGTCGCTGTGGTGTATGCGTGCGTGATGCAGCCTGACTCCAGTTAGCATGCTAGCTTTTAGCCTCGCTGCGATGTCTTGCCAGCAGGAGCATGGTTATAGAAACTAGCAGCTCGCTGGCCAGCTGCTGTTGTTGTTGGAGAGGATATTTCGGATTTTTTAAACTCATGTTATTACATTGGCCGGAATAATAACATGTCATAACATAAAGGATATGTTTCTGCTCGTTCAGCTCAGAAATATGTAAATCAACGACATGAAATCGATACATTTGCTTCCAGTTGAACACGAACCACGTGGTAGTTTACGTGTTCCCCGCCGCTTCGCTGCTATACACCAAAACACACGTTTTAACGACAAAGTTCCCCAAACCCTTTACGATTATCAGCGTATTTATTATATGTAAAATGCATTGGTAGTTGTTATTATTGCAGGTGTGTGCGGTTCGGCTTTATTATGTGCGTAGTTGAATAATGCTCCGCGCAGCAGCCATCGTTGTGTCGTGAGCTAAAATTAGCTTAGCTTGGCTAGCTAGTTAGCAATCACAACGCACTCGTTTTTCTAATTTGTATCATATGTTCTAGCTTGTTTAGCCGAGACATGGCTTCTTTTAAGTGTTACTGCCACCAAACATCTGCATCCTTCAGCTGCAGAGTGGAGAGTAGCTGCTAGCTTTGTGCTAACGTTACAAAGCATTGTTCTCCATGATGCCAGGGGGCCTGCAGCTGCTGCTGCTGCTGCTGGAGGAGTCACATTTCAGGTGGCTGCCTCCAGACTGCCAGACGCGCCCTCCGGCGGCCATGTTGGTGGTCGGCAGCTCCCTAGCACCTACAGCTGAGACCAGCTGATTTGAACTGTTAACATTAAAAAATGTGTTGTAAACATGTTGTTGTTTTTCTGGGCGGAGATCTGACAGATGTGTGTCAACTGACCGGAGTAAATATGTGCGCCAAGGAAGCTTTACTAATGGAAATGAGTATAAGCACATTTATATATTTTAGTTGGTAATAATGTACTGCGATCTGGCTTTGACCTTTACACCTGACTGCTTTTATTCGGAAGTTTTCAGTTTCATCACACTTTGCACATTGTTATATTTGGAAGTGCCAGTGGACCTCAATATATTTTCTTAAAGACAATAAATTATTTAAGAGAGATCAACACTTTAATCCCAATAGACCAAATTATGCCTTGAATATTGATAAGGTGTATCAGTCGGCTACCTTCATAATGAGACGTTTTAACTGGGGTCTTTCAAAATAAACAACATATTTTTTAGGTTTGGATCTGAACATTAGAGAGGGTTGCACATCACCAATAATCTTTTGTAGAAATATGGCCATGTGCGCCTTTGTCCTCTGTCTGACCTCTTTTATTTTTCTTAACATCTCAGATATGGTTCTTTGGGTTCTTGCTGTTTTCTTGGCACCATGGTCATTTTTAGACCTAATGGTTGGCGTAGTTCTCCCCCTGAGTAAACAAGACCGAGAAGGTTTTACTACCATAACACCCAACCTCGTGGGGTGAGGGGGCACCGAGTTCAGCCAAACTCAAAGATCTCTAGTCAGTTCGACTGAGGAATGTGGTGAGGTCGAGAATAAAGCCTAATTAGGGCTCAAGGTTAAAAGTTTACGGAGTCAGAGATCGGCTGATTGCTGATTATATTGTTGATTTCTGTTTATATGACCAAGAACAGTTGTTGTAAGTTGATGTGCACATGTCTTAAAACTGAATAAGAATGATCAAATGTGTGTCCGAAAAGAGCTGACAACAGAGTTCAAACGTTTTTGACTAAAGAAATACTGCCTGCCAGTGCCACAGTGGGAGACAATAAAAACCATTACGTTTTAGACCTTGCTCATTGGGCACAAAGCCCGAATGGACAAACTAATGATCGTCTCTCTCTTTGACCCTGCTACCTCAGCCTTGCCAACATCCCGCTCAGTCCGGAGACGGCTCAGGACCAGGAGAGAAGAATCCGCCGTGAGATCGCCAACAGCAACGAACGCCGGCGCATGCAGAGCATCAACGCTGGCTTCCAGTCCCTCAAAACACTCCTGCCCCACACAGACGGAGAGAAACTTAGCAAGGTGCAAACACCGCACAAACTGTAGCTCATGACACAGCACGATCAAGCTCTAAATGATTGGGGCCAGTTTTTGGACTGCTTTACAGAGGAGAACATCTTTGACATTTCAGCGTTGCCCATGCACTGTTCTCATGTTTACTTTTTTTCAGGCGGCCATCCTGCAGCAGACTTCAGACTACATCTTTGCCTTGGAGCAGGAAAAGACCACGCTCCTGGCTCAGAACAACCAGCTCAAACGCTACATCCAGGTAACATCCTGTTCAATTGTTATACATCTTTTATACTTTACATTACTTCTAACACTCAACCATCTCAAACTGGTTTGCTATCGTTCAGTTCGCCCTTTTAAATGATATTAACGCCTTGAACTTTCATCCCTTTTAATTTGACCTTTAGTTCTATTATTGTTGTCTGGTAGTATACTCGTTCACAAGAATTACAGCCAAACAATGAAGTTAAAGATACATGGAGCTAAAGACTTTTCTTTAAAATAATGTGTCTTCTGCACATTAATATAACTTGGTGTTCCATATTTGCACAGCTTGGAAAAGTGGGCAAAGGAAAAAGAACTTGCTCAATCTATATGCAGCCATGCAGTTTGTTTTGTTTACCCTGCTGTTGGGTCCCCTGTCCGTTTGGTTTTCTTGCCCAACAGCCCATTAGCTCAAATGGCTGCTTGGGCCATTTGTGCACAAGCACCATGTGTCGTTTTAAATAGAGTGGAAACACCTCAAGCTGTGCAGACTGACTGTTGATTAGATTTTAAAGCATCCCCCGTTAACATACTTTAAATAGTTAACTTAATATCTGCATTTCTTCTCCAGGAGTTCAGCGGCTCATCGCCCAAGAGGAGGCGACCCGAGGAGAAAGATGAAGGGATCGGGTCTCCAGACACGCTGGAGGAGGAGAAGGTGGAGGAGGTGAGGAGGGAGATGTTAGAGCTGCGGCAGCAACTGGACAAGGAGCGCTCGGCTCGCATGCAGCTGGATGAGCAGGTGAGACAAAAAAGAGCAGACATGACTTGAATGGGTCTTAACTTGGTTGTCAATCACCTCGAGAAAAAAAAGTTTGCGGTATATTCTGTATAATGAGGCTGAAAAGTATTTTAAAACCTTTCCTGAAAATGTACTTCAGGAATGCAACAGAAGGTGTTTTATCGTCAGGCATTTCATTTGAATCTATTACTCTTTTTAATCTATTCTATGCTTGGGATATTTCCGCATTAGTTGACTGATGCTGTGTCTGTGCTAATTGATACATCTGCTTTACAAAATAAATATAATAACTTCAACTGCTTTACAAAACTTGATAAAAAAAAGTTGTGAATGCTAGAAAATGTCACCAATATTGCTACCTTGACATGGGTTCTCTCACTACTACGAGTGAGGTCACATCTCCAGGCTTTACAATATCCTGTCACAGTGAACATTAACTATCAACGCACACGGACCAATATTTCCGTTTCACAAGTATCATCAGTATCTGGGTCCTTGACATGATTATCAGCTACTTCAACAGAAAGGCAGCTGGAGGTGTAGACAGACCATTATTGACAGCTCACATCCTGGATCTACCTGAACAGCAGGTTGATACAATGGGGACAGGTGGGGAAGACAAACAGAAACTAATGGGCAGCGAGAGAGGAAAGCAAACAGTAGGGGGGGTGCAGGGTTGAGATATTTCCAAAGAGTTTAATTACATCTGGGGAATCCAGTATATTTGATGAATGACTTTTATGATAAGTGTCAGGGTTATAACAATATCGCACAATGCCAAAGTATTGCATATTTTTCCACAAAAAAGGAAAAAGACATCCACTGTTCTACTTTTGTTGTTACCATATATAATGTTATTATTCAACTGTATTGTATTGGTCTGTTAGTTAAAGGGTTTTAGTGTAAATGATAGATATAATTCATTGCTATAATTTCTTGTTGTTAATATAATTAACGTGTGTGTGCAGATGCGCGCTCTGAACACACAGCTGCTGCCAGACCGCCTGAAGGTGATCACTCAGCAGGTGGAGGAGGAGCAGGCGCTCATCCAGACCCAGACGCTGCTCAGGCTGCAGCAGATCCACGCAGCCGACAGACGACCACACAGTCCACAGGTCAGACACACACACACACACTGAGGCATCCACTTTGGAATTCACAAACTGCTGGAGAGTGTTTTTAAACTACGTCATGCAGAGCTCAACAGTGACCGTCTCAGATGTAGTAACATGTTGTTCATTTTCTGTCCGTCCTCCAGGTGCTGACTCCCCCCGCCCCGACCCACCACCCCACGGTCATCGTCCCGGCCCCAACACTAACCCAGCAACCCCATCATCATGTCACCGTGGTGACCATGAGCCCGTCAGTCCACCCCAGCACTGTGTCTACATCCAGACAGAACCTGGACACTATTGTGCAGGTAGGAGTGCGTTTCACTTTGTTTACATTTTTCATACTCTTAAGTTAACAGTTTATAGTGAATGTTATCGTGTTCACCCCAAAGGGCCCTCTTCATTGTTCATAATACATTTCTTCCAACTGTTGTTTTGAGTCCATGAATAAGCAGTGAAAAAGCAACATATGGTAGTAGTGTAGCTGGGGGTTATGAAATTCTTAAGATTGGACAACATAAAGGCTTTGAGGTTATAACTTCCTTGAATCGTCTCAAAGGCAGCGCAAAACAGATTCTTACCTGCCGTTCTTTACCGTTCACAATAAAAGCCATTCAACGCGTAGCTGTTTTATAGAGAGAACTCAAATTCTCTCAGGACATTACGCTGAAGGGGAAAAAATAAAATACTATTGCATCTGTAATGAATGTTTTAACAAAGAAAGCTCTGTTACCAATCCATTCAAACATTCTTTATTATCACGTGTTTTTTTCTTTACTGTTGGTATTAAAAAACACTAAGATAAGACTCTATTCTCAGTAACGAGACAGAGACTGAATATTGTTTCCCTCTTCTTCAGGCTATCCAGCACATTGAGCGCGCTCAGGAAAGGAGAGCGAGCGCGGAGGAGGAGCAGAGACGAGCTGTCATCGTTAGCCCCGCCCACACCGCCATGGACACCGCCTGCTCGGACACAGACACGGACACGGAGGGCGAGGACTGCTCAATGAACTGATCCACCCCGTGAACTCTCACACACAAACACTTAAAAATACCTACTCACTGTAAGATTCCCTCCAGGAGCTCGACTACTTTAAAAAAAAAATCTTTCTTTGGCATTATCCAAACTCCTAAATCCAGTGGTTAAGCTCTGTGTCAGTCTTGTACTGTAGAAAAAAAAAAAAGAAGAAGATTGAATACTTAGGGTGGTCAGCGTGTAGAGGTGGTCCTGTGAGATTTCTAAAAGGCGGGTTTTCAATGTCAGAGCCGGTCTGTGGCTACTTGAAAACGTCTCCTCGTGTAAAAAGCTACCAGCATCAGTCCGTCCTTCACGTGCGCTAATGTGCGCTCCATGCAGGCGCAGCATCAAAATTAACTGTAGCAATTGGCACAGTATTATCTCTGCTACAAATTGACGGAGCTTTCAGGGTGGAGATTTGAATGTAACAACACAGAAGAAAGCAGCTCTTGATTCTTAAAAGGGATATGGAGTTGCAGGTATTTCTTTCCCAGTCTTAATTAGTTCGGTTTTTTCTATGTTTCCTGGTTTCCCAACTTAAAACTACAACAGAAGGCATTTCTAAATTAAAAGTTCTAATTCAAAACTTAATTGCAAAGTTAATTTGAGGATATATGTGGAATGGAATTATGTCTGAATTTACTTGAAAAAGGTTGTGTTTTTGATATCAAATAAGCCCTTGAAATAAGCTGTTGAACAATTTATATCGTCCTTTAGTTTTTTATGTTTAAACATGTTTTTGTTAACCTTTTTTTATTTTTCTGTCAGGGTTACTGAATGTCGAAAGTGAACACTTTTTTTATTGAGATTAACAACACAAAGTCGGAGGCTTGTCGGGCTTTCACAGAAAACCGGATGCCTTAGATTAATTCTAAGAGTCTGATTTTAAATTAGATTTCAAATTAAATCCACTAAAGCCAGCCCCATTATTTTCTTATACTGGTGGTGGTTGTTGCACCCCTAATGTAATAAATGAATAAAACAAAAATACGAACCAAATGTTGGTTCATAGCCGGAAAAGTAATTCACACATTGACTGATTCTTTTGAAATGCGCCCTTTGATAATTTGGCTGAAATCTGAAACAGATTGAATTGATTCTCATGCTCTGTTTGCATGAAGGCTTCCGGTTTTCCTCCAAAGACTTCCAGTCTATTGACTAGTCTTGGTTTGATGCTTTCAGTGACTATGCACTAGTGTTTTGGTATTTATGCAATTCCATCTTCAGTATGTTTGTTGGTGTCATTAATACGTGAGGTGAAGTTATCTATGCACCGTTGATAGGTGTGTACATTACACCTACAGTATACAGTATGTATGAAACGGGACATGCTTGTATCAAAGAATGTAGTCACTACTCGCAAGGTGCTTTTCGCCATCTAACTTCACAAGAGAATAACGTTTATTAAGTGTGTGAATTTTAGCAGAAATGATATGCGTCATTTCCACATCTTGGAATAGCTTATTGAGTTGTGGTGCAGGGGGGAGACGGCAGATGTGTATGTGATTTCATTTTGATATTTGATAACAAATGGAAAATAGCTTCAAAAATAGACAGGTCACATCTTAATGAACTCTAACCCCAAAAGCTTTAGGATCAGCCTGGGTAGTTTGAAAACTAAGTAAACTGATAGTGATGTTTCCAGAAGCCACAAAAAGTGCAACACTAAAGAAAAGCACTGAATAGATATTCAGATCTCCTCTCTCTAAAATGCACCAGGTCTGTCCGCCTCATGTTACCTTGCTTATATTTCTCTGGAATTTGACTGGAAATCCCTGCTTGGAGCCTCCCTCCTGTCATACTCGATTTGATACGCTGACTTGATGCTGTAAACATTCCTTTTTCTTATGATCTCTTATATGTTCTGTTGCCAATTGAATGCATGTTACTAATTGCTGTTTTCTCTTGTCTAAAGCAGGCTTACTTTTCTTTTTTTTAAAGGTTTCCTTTTCTTTCATGAACACATGACTGATTAATTCATTGTGAAACTGTCTGTTGACTTGATAGATTTGGGGACACTATTAACTTACATCAGTTTTATTTCTGGTTAGAGTAGCTGGTATTTCTCATGCCAAACATGGTGGGATATTCTCATGCTTTGTTTGTGAAACTTTGTTTAAGGGTTTGGTGTTTTGCTGGTTAATGTTAAGCCACAGGCTGATTTTAATCTGAGGTGCGTGATTGTTCAACTGAACACTTCCCCCAAATGTTCCTGTACATTGTGTTGCAGCACTGCTGTCTTTAGGTGGAATTTGAGATATTTGATATGAAGCACTTGCTGTTCTGTACTGCCTGAATCAATGATGAGGAAGACTTTTTTTTATTTCTTTGTAAACTCCATGCTGTGACTCAACTCGGCAGCTGTTTTTAGTGCTCTGCTTTTCTGTCTATTTTTTGTCTTTCTTGTCCAGTTTTACATTTTTGGTGACAAGCATTTTTTATATTTTTGTGATTTTTATTTTTCCCATCAGTCCAGGTCGATGAGAAGCTGTTATATTTTGTTTATAAAAAAAACTTGGGTAAACAGGCCTTTGTAAAGTTGAAAAAAAATAAATTTGTACTTTTTTTATTACACCCTTTTTGCTTCCTCTGCTTTACTTCAATCCTGAATGGTATAAACCTGCTATATCCACATTGAGTGAGTCACTTGGCAGCAGCAGAAAGAAGTCTGCAGCCTGGAGTTCACATTTGTGATAAACACAGCTCGCACACAGGCCTCATATTAATCTCCTTTTAGTATACAAACAATTACTAGAGATCTTCTGCTCTGAGAAATGTTCATAAACCAAAGAAAAAGCATACCTTTGTGTTACTGAGCATTGGTGTAGAAAGCAATGAATTCAATCTTGGATGCTATCGACAATTAGAAGCTAAAATCTGTATACATAAGCAGAGATGGCAAAAGTGCACACATCCTTTATTATTATTATTACTCAAGTAGAAGTACAGATACTTGTGTTTAAAAATACTCTGGTAAAAGTACTGACTAAACTTCTTTACTCAAGTAAAAGTAAAGAAGTATGGGCTTTGAAATGTACTTAAGTCAAAAGTACCCATAACTAGCAGCTGTTTTAAAGAGTACCTGACCTCCCTTTAAATTACTAGAGCAGTAATGTCATTGTTAGCTAATGAATGTTTCGATGCTGAACAACGGCAACATGACAAAGTTTTAATTGGTCCCTCTTTAGAGAAGACCAGGAAATGATGGATACACGAATCATGTTAAAATATTAACAAATATTTAAGAAGTACAATATAAGACAAGCACAAGTTTCATTTGTGGGCCATATTCCATTATACTTTTTGAATTTGCTGAGGGCCGATTCAAAATGGTCCGCAAGCCGCATTTGGCCCCCAGGCCATAGTTTGGACACCCCTGCTCTAAATAACAATGATCATGCCACCAAACACAGATTAAAACTAAAGTAACAAACCTGTTTTGAAAATGTAAGAAGTAGAAAGTACAGGTATTTATGTTAAAAATGTAAGAAATAAAATTAAAAAGTCGTCAGAAAATCATAATTATATAAGAAAAATGAAGTATTTGTACTCCACTACTTCCCACCTCTGTACATAAGCTCGTTAAAATCAACGACTTTAACATAATTAGTGGTAAAACTACAAGACTACAGCACGGTCGGCCAGTCTCTTCCTGCTTCTCTCTGCTTTCAACATTCCTGACAGGGCCAGGCAGCTGCTCCGACACACAATGGCTGACATGGCTGCAGTTTCCAATCACCACCTCCACTGGCATGCCCTCTGCCCTTCAGCGGGGCAGTATATATAGCCGGGGGAGATGAGTGGAAGGCCCCTGGCAGCCAAAATGAAGTCTCTGCTGTCTGTGTGCTGCGTGCTGTCTCTGCTGGCCCTGTCTGCTGCAGGTATGACTGAGTTTGGGTTAATATCTTATTTTTGTAATGATATTTTAGGGTTATAGTGCTGTGGGGTGCGTGTATGGAGTAACATAAGCAGGCATTGTGTGTGTGAAATATCCAGTGCAGTTGGATATCTGAATCTAGAAGTATTTGGTCTGTCTTTGAACACATCATAGCTTTGAGTTGATTTTAGAGGTCATAAATGAAGGAAAATAATATAAATAAGATATTTGATCAAATGAGTACAAATGTTCAATAATAAACAAAAGTGTCAGTGCAGTGCAGATCTCTGTATCAGGACAGAGGCGTGACACCAGCTGATGGAAACAGTCTGCTGGCTGCTCATTCTCTGCACTGACCAAGTGACTTGGACTCGCTACAAAGAGACACTCTCTGCTGTGGCCAAAGCAAAACCTGGCAGAAATGTTAAGTTTTCCCACTAGATCTATTTCAGTCTGACTGTCTGATCAAAGCATTTTGCATTCATGTGTACAACTCAGTCAACGCTCAAGAGAGGACTTTGGCATTTCAGTTGCTTGTTGTTTTACAAGCTTACCTATTATTCTACGTCATATCAATGAAAACATATTTGACCGTAGCAGATCGGATATTCACTAGTGATTCGTAATTTAGCCTATTACAATTGTTTCTCTGCTTGTTTCCACGTGTTTTAAAGAAGTGACTTGTCATACTTGGTAAAAGCTGAGGCAGAAAATACCCTTGTCTGTCCTTCTGCTGGTTCATTTTGGCCTCTGCAAGTTGCCGTAGTCAGGTGTCAGCAGTCAGTCAGACATAGTCACCAGATACCGTGGTCACCTCACTGATACGCATCTCTTTAAGACTCAGGAACAGAGGCGGAGTATTAGTCAACGGGCCCCTGGGTGCAGACATTCGGAAAGCCCCAACATCTTTCCTACATGGCAACAAGATTCCTAGGCAATATAGTTGTTTAGCCTCTGTTTATTGTTGTTTTGTGCCTCTTTGTAGTCCTTTTGTGCCTCTTTATAGTTATTCTGTGCCTCTTTAAAGTTGTTTAGGGTCTCTTCATAGTCGTTTTGTCCCCCTTTGTGTTTGTTTTGCCCCTTTTCAATTTTTTATATCTCTTAACAGCTATCAACCATTTCGTTAAAGTTGCTTCATGTTTCTTTTTTGGTCATTTTGAGTCTTTTCAAGGTTTGTGTCATTGAATTACATTTAGCAGGGGAAGGCCAGGGGGACCCTGACACTTTGGGGCCCTAGCTGGGCCTGGTAGTCACGTTCAGTAATCCATCCACGCTCAGGAATGCACTATTTACATCATGTACATACACACACACACACACACACACACACACACACACACACACACACACACACACACACACACACACACACACACACACACACACACACACACACACACACACACAGACTTACTGAGGTACACATGCCTGCAATTAAGAGGCAATCAAAAAGTCATAAATGAGAACAAATGAACTCTGTGTTTACAGCTAAAGTCAGTGATGCATTCAATGTCTTAATAAAGCCCCATCAGCCCCCGCTGTCTGCCTGCTGAGCTGCTAATCTGTCGTTCCAGTCAGCAGGCTCTGTGTCCGGGGGGATGTCCCTGATAAAAACAGGCATGAGAGAGCTCAGCTGAGGGCCCGTAGCTTTAGTAGCATCAGTTGGACTGTTTAAAGTAACATAATTAGGTAATCAAGCGCTATTAGAAATTGAATTGAATGTTAATGGATTGAAGTAGTGACAGAAGTGAATTGTCAACGCCTCGACGTGTGTGAGAGTGGGCATGTCTCAGAAAGTGTCACATTTGACAGGTTTATTAGCAAGGCAGTCAGAAATAGTGTGTACACTTAATCAATAGGAATACATGCTGAAATGGAGGAAATGTGTTTTTTGAGCCAGAAATGCTAAATCATTGCTGACTGTACGATGGTCTTTCCTAATGTTTTTGTTTTAGGCACTGATGTGTGAAAATTAGAATTGTGCACGTGTTTGAGCATATTAATCGTCCATTATTTGGGGTATCTTCATTATCCATAACTATGAGTGTGAAATCACCTGAAAGTCCGCCATGTTGCACTGCCATTTTTCTACTGTAGCGCAAAAAAGACAAACTAACTTTGGCTTTAGTGTGGGCCTTTTTTACATTTATCTCACTGTAGTTCGCCATTAAACTTCTAAAGGGAGGGGTAAGCAGCCTCACCGCTGGATGCTGCCAAATACACATCTTATCATTCCTCCTGGCTCTGAAGAGTTACACAGTAAGCAGGGTGCATGACATCAGAACTAGTGCTGATGCATTTATGTTCTTGCTCTTCAAAGAGATACCGAGTCACACACTGTCTCCCAGCGTTGCAGGGAATGTGAGCAATAGTGCAGCAGAGGTGCAGGCCAGCCTCATGACAATCACAGGGAGGAGAAGAGCGCAACACCCCCTGAAAATAGAAGGGTAATTATCCCTCCTTCTTTTCACCCTCTGACTCATTGTGGCTATTTCTATCTCTAAGATGAACCATGCAGAACCCAGGCACCTGTCCCACTCTGTCCCCACTACACTGCGCTCTGCCCAGGCAGCAACGTGAGGAACCACCAGAGAGGCACATTGCACTAAACTTTCACAGTGGTAGAAGTGGATAGATAAATGTTTTTGTAAGATAAGCATGCTCTGACTTTGATACTCCCACAATGTTAAGGATTAAGTTAGTGGCACATAAGTTATTGAACAGGATATGCATAATATTGATGGCTGAGGAAACTCAGGTTATCAATGGCAATCAATTTCAAACCAGCAATGATCATTGCTAACAAAGGATCAGATGGCTTTTTATAATGTCAAAGAGCACAATTCGACTAACTTAGAACCATCACCAAACTCTTTTCCTTAGCTCTAGCAAGCGTTTTAGTCAATTTTGGCTCATTGTTTTGATTTTGCAGTCGTAGCATGCACGTTTTCAGCAAATAAATAACTTTATGTTTACTTTGTCTGCCCAGCACTAATTGGCAGAGTTAAAAAACGAAAGAATTTTAGCAGTAAAAGAACTAGATATTTGGTTCAGGATTTTGCGGAGACCCATACTAGACTTTGATTTATAAGGGGGAAAGAAACAACATTCCAAATCAATGCTAAGGTTGCTCTGCTGCAATGATAAACTGCTTTCTTTAGCAAATATTAATTATGTGAACTTTATATTGGGATAATATGTCAATATAATGTTGATGTTAATATTATAGATTGTTTTGCTGTACCAAAGTAGTCAAAAAGACACATTGGTGCTCCTTAAAACACAACAAATGTTTCTGTCACTCTTACTAACTATGTTAACGTTACTTTATTTTAGCCATCACTGGTCACTACCACAGCAGAACATGATCCCTTCACCTAATCCATCTATTTCAAGGCATGCAGTGCAAAGAACAACCAGTACTCGCAGCTTGTATGATTTGAATGGCCTTGTTGTTACATTATTTATAATTTGTTTTACATATTATGTCCCATGCTCTTATCCTCATCAAGATGCATACATATCAGGCAATTGGATCAAAGCCAGAGAAAATCATCACAGATTACGTAAAGTAATGTCAATATAACTTTGGCAACCCATCTTCACCAACGCACTTTAGAATCTTGGCTGCTCTTCATGTAACAACGTGGAAGATTCTGTTGCACTATGTCTTTGGACAGCATCCAATCCTCCTTCATAGTTCGATCAGAAGAGCTACGAGGGAGGCAGGCTCGCACCTCAACCTCTGCCAGCGACAGCAAGGAAGACTGTCTCTTAAGATCAGCAGACCTTTAATCCCCATATGTCTGCAGAGCTGATTCATGTGTCATATGTTATTCTTTAGCTCTTGAAATCTTGATTTTGGGACTTCAACTCTCAACAATTATTAAAATTGTGAACACCAAAGTCCGGTGCCCAGCCGAGCACCGGACTTTGGTGTTACTTGAAGGTTTGAATGGGTTCATAATACAATAAACAGCTATAAGTAGATTCCGTAATTGGCTTTTGCTTAGACCTGGAATAGGACCATACTTTTGCTAAAAGTCAAGAACAAAATGTCTTTATCTACCCAGTTTGCTTGTAGCATAGATGCTTTAGGAACAAGAACTTGATGTTCTCTGTGCTCACTAACACTGGTAATTCCCTCAGAAGGCGATAAGCTAACAAAACTTCCAGAAGCTCAATGAGCATTACATCTTCCATCTTGCTTCAAATATAAATGAAGAAGCAGCTGATGCATGGTTTGGTGGTGTCCTCTTCAAGGCTTTACGCTGGTACTTTCACATCCACATTTAAAAAATAAAGCATCTGATAGCCATAGCCAAAAAAATATCAAAATATCTACATAATATCTGAATAATTAACTTAAAAAATAAAACATTGTGTTTTTGACTACCATGACCCTGGAACACATAGAAACATTGTTTATGTTTTTGAAATTTAAATGTGTTTTAATCACTATTCTCACACAGGTGTTTTCACTAGTTGCCTGATTAGACTGTAAGCGTGTACAAGCATCGCTTTTCTGAAACATCTCTCATTCGCCTTTTACTTGTGTTATACCTGTCAGGGCGGGACATCTTACACTGATACTTTCCTATTGGTTCAACGTTTGATCATGTCATATCTAGCATTACTCCACCATAGCTTCAACCTGACATATTAAAAATATATTAAAAATACCTGTGACTGTTTGGCACATCCTTCAAAGACTCAGGACTGTGGGTATATGTGTTGGTTGTCAGTACTTTAAACTTTCTTAGTTTAAGTACATGAAAATTAGACAATTTATTTACTGACATTTTTATTTTATTTAGTTTAATAACACCGCAACAAATGATAATGTGAAAGGAGGTCACTCGCAATGATGACCTAGATATTACGACCAAAATATGTAGCTACACTTTAGCTGCAGGCTTTTGTTAGCCTGACTGTAAAGTGAGTTGTTGTCCAGGTGCAACTTTACTGTTTTTGTTCACTCTCACCGCTCTCATAGGCCCTTTC